GCCGCGGGCCCTGCCGCCGTCAGCCTTGGTGCCTGCCTCCCCTTGCGAGTCCCCGCTGCCGTCCCCTGTCCCCAACCCCACCTGTGGCAGTTCCTGCTCGTCGCTCTCCCCCATGTCCAGCAGCCCGCTCAACGCCGGCTTCGAAGACAGCCAAATGTCTGGAGCGCTGAACCCCTCTCCCTTCTTCCAGCACCCCTGCCATCCCAAGGACGGTAACAAAACCTTCCACCCCTCTGACGTCCTGAGCTCCAGCTCGCTTCATTACCACCCCCCGGACTCCGTCAAGTCCTTCCACTTCCCTCCTGATGCTCTGAAAGACGACAGCCTCCTGAAATGTGCCCCGGCAAGCCCGTTCCACAAACCCGGCGTGGAGGTGGGCAAAGGATGCTCGGATGGGCTGAGCGGGGAGCAGCCTCCGCCGCCGCACCAGCTCGCTCAGCAGCGCCAGCCTGGACCAGTTGGACGTGCTCCTGACCTGCAAGCAGTGCGACCAGAACTACAGCAACCTCTCCTCCTTCCTGCAGCACCGCCAGTTCTGTGCCTCCCACCCCGCTCCCCAGGGAGAGGGCAAGGATGCTCCCCGGGCAGCCGAGGGGCGGAAAGCCCTCCCCCCGGAGCCCCACAAACCCCCCGGCCTGGGGCTCTCTCCGGACCCCCAGGCACATTTGCTGGCATTAAACAAGAGCGATGACTTCTTGCTGGATGGGGAAAGCAAAAGCGAGGGCAAGGAAGATGCTCTGAAGGGCGGCCTCTTCAACGGCCTCGCCGCCAGCTCCCTGCCGCTCACCGCCTCGGACCTGGACATCGACGATGCCAAGCTGGACAGCCTGATCACCGAAGCCCTCAACGGCCTGGGGTACCAGTCGGATAACCCGGAGATCGACAGCAGCTTCATAGATGTGTTCGCCGACGAGGAGCTGACGGGCGTGAAGGCAGCCGGCGGTGGGATGTCCCACAAGGCGAAGGAAGCCCTGGCCTCAGAGAGCAAATCAAAGCAGGCAGCAGTGGAGGAGAAGGCAGCGGGTCAGCCCAAGGCCAGCTATTTTTACGAGGATGGCCACCCCGGTGGGGAGCAGGTGAAGAGAGGGGCAGGAAAGCAGCACCTTCACAAGGGGAGGCCAGCACAGAGGTTGGCAGCCCAGGAGCTGGATCCCGGGGCAGCAGGAGAAGAAAGGACAGCCAGGCTGCGGGCAGGCAGGAAGAACAGCATCCCACCGGCCACCACCTCCTCCAAGTCCACCTCCAGCCAAAAGCATCCAAGGAAGCTCAGCCAGGAGCCTCTGACGAAGAGCGAGGTGGGGTTGGGTATCGCCACCAAGAGCTCCAAGCCACCCCGGTTCTCCATGAAGGAGATGAAGAAGCGGAAGCCCCGAAGCGGGACGTGGAGCAAGGAGCTCATTCACAAGATTGTGCAGCAGAAGAACAAGCTCCACAAACTGCAGGTGAAGAGCAGCAAGCAGGCACAGTTCCCCCAGGCTGCCGAGAGGCTGATGCCAGCTGCCAAGGAGGGCAGGTTTCCGGAGTATGACTATGTCTCTGACTCGGACGACGACAGGGCAGAGTGTAGCAAGCTCCGGGGACGGAAGAAGCAAGGCAGGGGATTCATCGGGAGGAGCAAGTACAGCTTTAGCAAGAAACGCCCAGGAAGAAGTGAAAGAGCCAAAGAGAAAGATCCAGCCTGGAGCTACAACCAGAAAAGGGACGGTCAGAAAAGGGAGGCACAGGAGCATGGGGGGGTCTCAAGCCAGGAGCATGACAAGAAAGAGGATTGTGCCACCAGGGTCCGAAGACGGAGCAGCCAGTCGTCTACC